TTGGTGGGCCATCAGGGTCACTCCACACCCAGGAGGGAAAAGAGACAACAGGCCATCAAGAAAGCAGCTCAGAGGGGTTCTGTGGCCATCAGATCCCCCACGCCTAGACTCCACCTCAGCTCCCCACAGGGTTAATCATTCCCAGACAAGCCAGCCACACCCCCCCCCACACTCACATAGCTTTCCCAACACACACCTGTGACCCAGCTGGCAAGGGGCAGGCCAAAGGAGCCTAGGCAAGCAGATGGATCCTTCTAGAACCCTTCGGAGAAGGAACCACACCCATGCCCACCTGGGCATCCCACCCCTGGACTTTTCGATGGAGCCGTAACTCCCTAAATAAGGTCTGCTTTAATTCCTCAGTCTATCCAGCAAACTCGTAATCATCCTTCAAATCCCACTACAACATCTCCATGAAGCTTCCCCGATTTCCCAGGCACCTCAAAAGTTAAGCAGCTTAAGTACAAACAGATAAATTTACCTTCGGTGGTCCACACCACCCTAGACTAGAAGCTGGCATTTAACTACACAAGACAGTCTTGTCATCAATAAGTATTGAAAAAAGAAACTGGGTGGAAAGGAACAGGTGAGAAGTACCTGATAGGTCAGGAGCAGCTACAGAGCCACATGACCCGGGACATTGGCATGGCTTCCATACTGGGGACCATGTGGAGCCATGAAAAGCTCCAGGCAGGGAGGTCAGAGCCCAGGGAGAGAAGTCTGGCTCAGCCCTGGATGGGGGTTGACCCACTTATCAGTAGGTCCCATACCCCTTGTCCTGCTCCTCCCCCTGCAATTCTTAAGGGCCACAATATCTGTCATGCATGCTCCTTGTCCCCAGAAAAGTATCTTCCTAACACTCTCAGTTCAAATCCAGAGCCAGCCTTCCCCAACAGTTCAGAGCCCATGGCTTCCTGAACCTCAGAGACACTTCAGCCTGATTCCTGTCCCCCTTAGCTGGGGAGATCTAGAGCCATTCCTGAGGACCTGGTCCCCAGCTATGCCACATGAATGGCCACCAACCCAGAAGAACGACACCAACATGCCAAGAAGGAAAGAGAGGCAAAGGCCTCTAGCTGCCGTGAGCCCTAGGGAGGCCAAAAAGGGAAAGAGACCTGCTCAGGGCCACAAAGTCAGCTGACCAGAGGGAAGGCCTGGCTGGCCCTTCCCAACCCACCAGGAAAGGCAGAACCAGGGGCTCAGGAGACCCCCACAGACTCAACAGCAGCTGCAACATCTGTAGAGAACACCCCAGAGCAGCTCTGTGTGGCTAGGTCAAAAGAGGGTGCAGTAAACACCAACAGCCTGGAAGAAGAACTCCACCAGGGGAGCCCAGGGCCTTGCATCCTTGCCTCACGGAGGGCCACATGGGCTCCACCTCAGGACCCACCCACAGGGACAGAGATGGACTGGCTCACGGCGTCACTGGCACATGCTGCACAGTGCTGTGTCCAGTGCTGTCTAGGAAGCATCTGTCCCATAAGGTGTCTAGATACCAGCCTGGGCTTTTGAAAGAACAGGGTTGCATGGCCCACCAGCACCTTTCCAGGACACTGGGCATCTTCCAGCCCCAACCAGGGTAGGAATCAGTTCTATGAGTTCAAATGACACAGCACGCACTCAGCCCTGCAAAGGTACCACAGGGCTACAAAGCAACCAGGCCCTGCCCTACAGAAGCCTCAAAAACAGACATGGGATCCTGGCTGGGCACCGGCTAAGCATACACTCTACCAGTCGGGTCTGGAAACTCACCCCACAACCCCTATAAGGAAGCAGGGTGACAGCTGGCAGAGAAGCAGCAGGATCAAGGACAAGACTGGAAGCCTAGCAGCTTTGTGCCACCCCCTGCATGGTCCGAGGTCAAGACACAAAGGACAGTGGGTGGCCTATGTGAGAAGCCGGCGAGCCTGCAGACACTGAGGGGGGGCCACCAAGTTCCTGAGACCCAGGGAAAGCTGCCCCAGGGCTCCACTTCGGAGCGCCTGGACTAGACGCCTGCAAGTGGTAACTCCGGCCACCGCCACCTGGACTGTCACCGCCTGACCCCTGCCCGAGGCCAGCACGGACACTTAAGCTAAATTGGTCAATTATGGGATACTTAGATCCCTCCTGGGGCTTCCCAGCCTCCCTGCACTCTGGGCAGCAGCACCAGGAAGCCAGTTGAATCAGTAACCTCATTACAGCCCGCGCACACCCGGCGGCTTTGAACTCCGTGGGGCTTATCCACAGTCCTGCAGGATTTACACACAGCCTGGCCTAAGCCCAGCATGCTCCCCTCCCCTCATGCTCAGGAGGCCACAGCCTCTGCTGACAGCCATCAGCACCAGCTCTGGGCTCCAAGATACAGTCTGGGAAACTGGGGCCTGGCCACTGGGCAAAGGTGCAGGAAGGCTAGGCAGGCTCTAGTCTCCACAGAAACCGGGCATTGGGCCTCTAGCTCCCCTAAGTCCCTAGCCCAGCTGGCAGAGCTTGTCTCTGGACAGGCCTGGCCATCATGAAGGACAGAGTTGAACTTGAGCAAGGAGAACTTTGTGGAAGGGAACCCCATACATCTGCCCCCTGCAAAGGGGTTCCAGTGTTCCAGTCCCCAGCCCAGAAGCCCTTTCCTCTCTATGACCCTTGGACACCCCACTCTGACCCCACAAGGCAGGCTATCCTGCTCCCCAAAGGCCAGCCTGGTCCCTAGCACCATTCAGGGTTTGGGAGCCTGCCTTTCTTCCCAAGCTAGGGCATGGACTCATGACTACCAAACTCACCTTTCCCAGAGACCCTGGGAGCACTCACAATGGAGTAGGAGACCTCAGGACAGGCCAAGGGCCTAAGGGCCAGGAAGGGGCTAAACAGCAGGGAACAAGCAAGGAGTGAGGCCTCCCCTGGCTCCTCATGTGCAGGGCCTCTGGTCAGGAAGGGTGCAGACCCTACAGGCCAGCTCAGGGGCCATCCTTAGTCCTCAGAAAAGCCCTGGGACCCCCTTTCCCAGTCTAGCCACTACACTGAAGGGCCCAAACAGGGGCTCTCTAAGGCCAGACAGGAGTCACTTCCTCCTCAGCCCAATCTCACAGCCTCCAAACCACATCTGCACATGCAGGGGGCAGGAGCCAGCTCCACCTGTCATCACCCCTCATCTCACACATTACCACCTCCCACCATGACTCTCATCCAGCCCGCTGGGCCCTGGTCTAGCTGTCTTTGCAATGTACCCCTCCCTCTCCTGTTACACCTACCCTCTTCTCTGCCACCCTCCCCACGAGCTGAGGGACTGGACCGTGCCTGGCAAGGGCACTCTACCTGCACAGGAATGAAAGCCACCAGAAAGCCTGGGTCCTCCTTAGGCTCTGGACCAACGTTGCTAGGTTCTTGAGGACCAGGCCACAGTGCACGTGTGTGTGCCTGCATGCACATGTGTGCATGTGCTGTGGGACGTTGCTAGGTTCTTGAGGACCAGGCCACAGTGCACGTGTGTGTGCCTGCACACGGGGACTACAGAGATAACCAAGTTCCTGCCCTGCCCTGGGAAGGCCGGTGTGGCCACCCTCCCTGGGTCCCCTGCTACAGGCCTCTATGGATCTTGCTGTCAGACACCTAGGCCCTGGCAGGGTGAGATAGCAGCCAAACCACTGGGTCCTCTGGTGGAAGGTGGCTCTTGCTGCTCCTCTAACCTATGGTAGCCTGGGAACTTCCAACTGTCTACCCCCAGGAAGCACCCAGAGTAGCGACTCCCCAGAGGGTTTTGGGAAAAGGGGGCAAGCCTTCCAGGTTCGGGGATCCAGAGCTGTCAGTGAGGCCTCAGGCCCACTAATCATAGGGCAAAACAGTGACTCAGACTGGAGGGGCTGGAGGCTGGGGGGGGGGGCTCAGGGGGGCGTGGTAGCAGAGTTCCTGGGGAACCAGGCCAAGAGTGGACCTCACCCTTGTAGGGATTCTGAAGATGCCCATAGAACAGGACCTGGGCAGGTTCAAGAACAGGTTCTGGCCCAGCTGGAGGTCAATTTGTGAAACAGACAATCACCTAGAGGTGTAACCCAGGGGTGCTGTGGTGAAAGACCCTACCACTGAGCTTGGTTTCCCATCGCTTAGTGAGGTTGCCTCAGGGTCATCACAAGGTCCTGAATTAAGTGCCTGGGACTCAGCAACTGCCCAATGGACGGTTGTCCTCACCCAACCTAGGTGGGCAGGTCCTGGGCAGGTTGGGGGAGATTTAGAAGAACAGGGCTGACAGATGCAGCCAGGCCTAGAGATCCTGGTGAAGTCTAAGAGGCCCTAGAGGCTTACAGAGCTGGTTTGCTGCCTCATGGCGGGGCGGCCAATGGCACCAGGTGAGTATGGAGGTGTGTGCGTGTCAAGCTGCTCCTTACACGGCCAGGGCCAATTTTATTTAGCTGCTTTCTGCTCCGTTTCACGCTCATTCAGCTGCTGAGTTAGACAATTGCTTTGTAACTCTAGGGTGCAATTTCCCTGTCTGTGAGGCGCTGGGGCACGACTGCTCAGAACATCTCGCACCAGGCTCTGGTAGGTGTGTACGCGCGTGCAGGCTCCCGCCTGGCCAGGCTCACAGGGCCTTGGGGAGAGTCATGCAGCAGCCGGGGGCTGTCCTGGGAGCCTAGCAGGTGTGAGGAAACTGGGCAGCAGCTACGTCCCTCGACGCCCACTTTCAGCCTCTGCTCCCATATGCAAGGGCAACCAGTGACCCCCCACAGGACAATGTGGGCTCAACAATGGAGGCCTGGTCCCACTCTGACCCAAGACAGAGGCCCAGATAAGACCTTCCTCAGGCCTCACCTTGGGAAAGGAAGAGACACACAGAGCCCTGAGAACTGGCTACGTGTCCGACAGCCTAGAAGGAAAACCTGCATCCATTTTACAGACGAAGATGGCCGAGATCACCTGCCCAGCTATGCCTGTCCTTTGGGGTCCTCTGTGGCTCTGGGGAAAGGTGTGACCATGGGAGAGGCAAATGACCAAGGGTTTGAACAGGAAAAAGAGGAAAGATGTAAGCGTACCTTATAACAAGGGAATGCTGCAGGCCCACAGGCAGGGGACAGCCCCCTTCCCCAGCATCCATGAAACCAGCTACGGGGGCCAGCGAGATGGCTCGGCGGGTAAAGGTGCATGCCACCAAGCCTGATGACAATCTGAGTTCAATCCCTGGGACACATGGTGAAACACAAGGAGTGACTTACACACACACACACAAATGTGATTTTAAATTTTCCAAAGGTCTAAAAGGTGAACCCCAAATGGACACACAAGCAGCCACAGTCCAGACACTTCTACGCCTTGAGAACCAAGACTCCTGTCCCATTCCTGGCACAGCTGATGGCCAGTTCCCACGGTAATCCAGCAGGCAAAGTGATACCTCAAAGCCCTACCTGACCCCCAAGCCTAGGGCCTGAGGAGCAGGGAAGGAAGGCACGTCTTGGCTTGTCCTGGCCCTGGGCCATCAGTGAGGTTCCAGGCCTAGGACTGCAGACAGTCAAGCCAGGCCCACCAGTCCTCTTCTCTGCAGACCCACGCCTCACTCGCCATGATGACCCTGGCCCCAGAATGCTCAAACACAGCAAGACCCTGTATCACCAGAGACAGGAAACCCCCGGCGGCCTCACGACTGGTGGGTCCATGAAACTCTCCCAAGCTACTTTCCATGCAGCTGAAGTCTGTCCACACATGTGGACAGCAGAGCCTGTTTGGTATGCGTGGCCAGCCCTTCAGTGGAAGGACGCAGGCATGAGCACCCATACCGTGTCCACAGGGTGACACACCCTCTGGACCCCTTCATTTCCCAGCGCAGGAAATGAAGCCAGGACAGGGGTCCCAGCTCCCAAGCTCAGCCTCCCTGACGGACAGTCACAGCGGCAATGGGACTGGGCCCCTGCAGGGCAATCAGAGGGGCCTCCCTGAGGAGGTGTACCTAGCCGCAGCCCTGAAGGACAGGCACAGCTGGAAGAGCCGCCTGGGCGCTGACAGATCTGGGAGCCAGCCCACAGCGGCCACCCCATGTGACAAAGCTGCTGGCTCAAGCCTATACCCCCCACACCCCAGAGATTCTAAGCTGGGCTACACTGTATACAAAACTCCCCTCCCTCAGTCAGCCCTTCCTGGGAGCCCAGCTCACTGAGCCCACATCTGAGCTGAACGTTCCTGCCTAGCACAGTAGTCAGCCTCAGCCCAGACAAGGATGCAGGCAGGCAAGGCCACAGACACAGGCAGGGCCCGCATCAGAAGGGCGCTTTCTCACCTTAATACTTCCTCGGTCAACAGAGCCCCTCCAGATTTTCCCTCAAACAAATGCCCAAGTCAAGTCGCAGCCTGGGCCTAACCATGAACTGCCTAGGCCCAAGCTGAACTCCAAGCCCGGCCTCCCGAGAGTCATGTGACCCTGTTATTTCGGGAGGCCGGGATGTGCTCTATTTTGGGTCACAAGGGCTCTGATGTTTCCAGAAGCCCCTCACCCAGGCCCAAGTTCACCCAGGTCTCCGAGTACCCCACAAGAAGGCAGTCAGAGGCCTAGAGCCCTGCTCCTGCTTACCTGGTACCCTCAGAAACAAATGGGCCACTAACAGCTTGGGCGGGGGGGACAGTCAGTGCAGTCTGAGACCTTTGGACTTTGCAGGCTCAGTTGCCCAGTCCTACCATCCAGGCTAAGGCCAGTCCTGTCCACCCCCCACCCCTGCCCCCAACAGGCATGGAGCAAGGCCAGCCCTGGGCAGCAGGGCCAGGAAACAGGGGCTGCCTGGGGCAAATTCCCCAGCCTCCCTTTCTTCCCAGATCTGTCCCATACCCGATCAGCTCAGTGGGCGGTGGATGGGAGGTCTCTTGGCCCACCGAACCCCATGCAGTGCATGTTGGGAGGAGTCCTCTTAGTTCCAGACCAAAAGTGGCCAGGTAGTCGGAAAGGATGATAGAGCCTTCCTAGCTACCACAAGTCGAACCCAAGCAGCCAGCGGATGCCCTGGATGAGCCAGGCCCTCTGATAGCCTCCAGGAGGGATTAGGCTATGTTGACAAATGGGCTTAGACAAGTAGCCGCTTAAATGGACCTTCAACGGCACTGGACTTCAGAGCTAGTCACAAGCTTAGAAAAAAAATGTAATCAGAGCTTGGAACTTGCCACTCAGGCCTGCGGTATAGGCTACTGGGAGGCCACAAGCTGGTTGAAAGCCACCGCACTGCTCTGTGAACGTAAGAATCCAGGCCTCCTTATGATATAGCCCACGGGAGCTCCGGGGACACCAGCTCTGAGATGCAACCTCGCCTCTTCATGAGGACTCCAGCCCAGTCACCCTCCAACCTCACTCCCAGTTCCGTATGGGCCAACTTCTAGGATAGGGTCTGTTCCTCCTGGGATGTTGCTCCCTTCTCATGACCTAGCTAAAGTCTTGTCGGGCCATGTCCAGGGACCAGAAACTGGGCAGCGCATTCCTGCTCCAGAAGGGCCCAGTTTGGGGGCACACACGCAGTGAGAAGGCTTGAGTGGAAGAGATGGAGGTGTCCTGCACGGGAACCCCACCAGCGCCATACCAAGCCCCACAGTGGCAAGCCACAATAACACAACTTTCTGATACCACAAACATGAGCACGGGGGTCAGGAGCTAGACCCCAAGCTCATCCAAGGAGAGCTCTCAGCTGAGCCCGGCTGTCTTCACTGCAGCTGAGGGTGGAGTCTCTGGAGTGTTAATCAACTTGGAACCCTCTATCCTAGTCACTATGCAGCAGACCTATCTGTGAGGTGTAGGCAGGCCAGGGTAAGGGGACTATTACCTTCCAATATCACCAAATATCCCTATAGCCGAGCTAGGTTCTGTGCACCCCCCCAGGGTGGTCAAACTGCACCCCAAGCTTCACAGGAGGGGTGGGCAGGCAGAGGGGGCTGTGATCATCGTGGGGCTTCGTCCATAATCAGCTGTCCTAATTTCCATTCTGCACAAATCCTTCACCAGCCTGACAGCCTGGCTGCCGTCCCCACTACCAAATTAATATCGTTCCCAGAGCTCATTTATAAAGTCCCCCCCACATACATTGCTTCCCTCTGGCTCCCACAACCCCAGAGAGAGCAATGGGGGGGGGGGGAGCTGGCCATGCTCAGTCCTCCTCCTGGAGTTGGCAGGCTGTCTGGAGCTGGGAGCTGCAGGACAGGAAAACGGTCTCGCCTGCCTCTGGGATGTCCTCCCCCCTAGATGCCAGGGAGAACTGGGGTGGGAAGGGGGGGGTCAGAGTGTGGGGCCCCAGTTCTGGTTGTGATGTGCCGATCAGAGGCTCCTGCATGACGGTGTCCACCAGGGTTCGGGCTGCTGTGGGGAACCACAGAGTCGCAGACTGTTTCCCTGGGGCCAGCGGCCTGCTCCAAACAGCAGCCCGACGGGCGCACGGCGCAGTGGCCGCTCGGGGCCCAGCGCGTCGCCCCGTCCCGGTGCCAGGGAGGCCCAGGAGCCCTCCAGCGAGCGCAGAAGTTGCTCCTCCCGCGAGGCCCGGTTCCTGCGCGGCCCGGCTGTGGCTGGGCGCCCCGGGGGTC